GATGGAAAGCCCTGACCCGCAGCCAGCCATTGTACCTGCCCTCACCCCCTTCTCCAAGAGGTGAAGTCTGGAGCAGCTGCTGATTTTCATTTCAAATCTTCGGGTTTGGGCTATTAATAAGCCTGGAAAATAACCACATGTTCTCTGAATTATGTAACAGATGTTCAATTCCCCAGGATGAAGAGGTGTCAGCCTGATGGAAGAAGTGATGTGAGGACTTCTCTTTCTTTCCCCTTTGAGCTGCGTTTCTCTTCTTATTAACAAAACTGATTCTCTGCTGGGGGAGAGGCAAAGATAACTCCGCTCACCCCACCCGCTGTGACCCAACCCCGCCATCCCCCCCTCGCTTTGAGCTCATGTTTATGCACTTCTTGCCTCTCTCCAGCGTCAGATTTGGAAGACAAGTGTCATCCAGATCGAAGTCCCATTGAAGGAATGTGTTGTGATGAGGAGCTGCCGAGTGAGTCACTGCTCGTGCTGGCACAGCGCGCTGGGGACGGGCCAGATCCTGACGCTTGGCAGGGAGAGCGGGAAGCAAAGGAGGAAAGGAAACTCAGGGCCAGGAGCTCTGCAGAGCTCACCCAGCCAAGGGGGCTGGGCTGCAAGTGCATTCCTGGTTAACCATTCCAGTGCCACAGCCCCCAGGGAATGGCTGGAGCTGTGTCAGGGCAGGCTCAGGGTGGATCTCAGCAAAAGGTTCTTCCCCCAGAGGGTGGTTGGCACTGAACAGGCTCCCCAGGGCAGTGGGCACAGCCCCAAGGCTGCCAGAGCTGCAGGAGGCTTTGGATGATCCTCTGGGGCACAGGGGGGGACTCTTGGGGCTGGGCCTGTGCAGGGCTGAGGGTTGGACTCCAGGATCCTTGGGGGTCCCTCCCAGCTCAGCACATTCCATGATTCAGTGTTCCCAGCCTCTCTGGGGCAGTGTGGGGTGGGCTGAAGGTGAGGACAGAGGAGGTGTCTGTCTTAGGTTAGAAGTTAAAAAGGGTTTCCTTCTGTCTTCTTTTTGATGATTTATATTTTTTAAGGTTGTTGTTACTGATCTTCCTCTGTCCCAGAGTGAGCACTCCTGGCTCCACATGGGAAAGGTCCTGAGCAGCTCAGGGTGGTTTTAACCAGGATGGCTCTTCCTTGGATCCCTGTTTTGCTGCCTTGCATGAACATTGAGGCCACACCTTGAGTATGAGGCTGCACCTCAGGTCCTGTGTCCAGTTGTGGGCCCCTCATGACAAGAAAGTCATTGAGAGGCTGGAGTGTGGAAGGGAACGGAGCTGGGAAGGGGCTGGAGCAGCAGGAGCAGCTGAGGGAGCTGGGGGGCTCAGCCTGGAGAAAAGGAGGCTCAGGGGGGACCTTCTGGCTCTGCAATCCCTGACAGGAGGGGGGAGCTGGGGGGGGTCGGGCTCTGCTCCCAGGGAACAGGGCCAGGAGGAGAGGGAACGGCCTCAGCTGTGCTAGGGGAGGGGCAGGTGGGACATCAGGAGGAATTTCTCCCTGGAAAGGGTGGTCAGGCGCTGACACAACTTCTCAGGGTAGTGGTGGAGTCCCCATCCCTGGAGGTGTCCAAGGAAGGACTGGAGGTGGCTCTCAGTGCTCTGGGCTGGGGGACAGGATGGGGATGGGACACAAGGGGGACTCCATGGGCTGGGAGGGCTTTTCCATCTCAGTAATTCCAGGATGCTGAGCTGGAGGGAGGCTGTCACCAGTTGTGTGAAGCAAAGCTGAGCAGCCCCTTGGGAGAGCTGTTTGTGGGTGTGGATTGCAGACACGGGGCCCAGGGGCCCACATTTCTGAGGCAGACTGAGGGATGAGCCCCTGCTCGGACAGAGGTGTCTGTGCTCCTGCCATCCCTGAGGGTGACTCTGCTCACACAGCCAGCTCTGAGCTCTGCTGTACCATCTCCTCTTGTTCCAGCATTCCATGCCCTTTCCTCCCGGGAATGCTGCTGGGAAAACGTGGCCCGAGGCAGAACAAGCTGATGGGGGGAAAGTCCTCCCGGTGTTCTGCCCTCTCCAACACTGACGTGACTGTGGGGAAGGGCCCTCCTGGTTCCCTCCCTCTTTCTTCACCTCCTGTACCAGGAGGAGGGAGAAGCTGAAGTGAGGTCCTGCTGAGTGTGAAATCCAGCAGGATTTGGAGTATGCTGGGAATCTCCTGAGCACTGGTATCTAATCTGGACACTTGTGACGAGTCTGGGTCCCCCATGCAAAGAATTGATTGTTGGCCACTTTCAGGTAATAAAAAAGAAACGTGGACCAGATTTGGAATGTTTTCCCCATTTCTCCACAGTTCCCCTTTCCTTGCCCTTCAGGAGCAGTTGACAGCCTTGTACTCTGTGTTATTCACTGCTCACCACTGATTAATGGGCCTCTAATGTCATTACTTGTTTCATTATCCAATCTAGGAGATCAGTCATTATCAAGGAATAAAGAAAAGGCAATTTTTCACTGGCATTAAGTGGTTGGCTGGAGGGGTAAAGTGCAAGGTTCACTTCTCAGAACAGGAGCAAGACACTTATTAGGGAGAAAAACTGCAGTGAAAGTCATCTGTAAGTTTGTACTGCCCAAGGAGCCGAGCTCAGCTGTGGAGGAGCTGTTGCCAAACACAGAGATAAAGGAGAGAGCTCCAAAAAAGTAAGGCCTGTATCAAGAAGGTGCTCTCAGAGGGCTGAGAATAGCAATAATAATTAGAAGTAATAATAATAATACACCTTGGAGGTCAGCCCTGGGTGCTGTGCAATTGCAGACAAAAAGGCAAATAAATCATTGCTTGGAGTTCTCTGTTGGAAGGAAAGGAGCCAGACGGTGGGTGACAGATGGGCAGGAGGGGGTGACAGGGAGGGCACGGCTGGGACACCGGCAGGACCGGGGCTGGCACGGGGCTGGCACAGCAAGGGTAACGAGGGGCATATGTGGGTCACTTGGGGGCACCAGGGCCAGCACAGGGGAAGGGGGAAAGTGCCTGTTCAGAGTGTGAGGAGACTGGGAGCGTTTCATTTTGCAGGTGACTGAAGGCAGAAAATCATGGAATGTGCTGAGCTGGAAGGGACCCCTGAGGAGCATCCAGTCCAACCCTGAGCCCTGCACAGGCCCAGCCCCAAGAGTCACCCACTGCCAGGGACACACATCTCCTTCTTTGCTGCAGCCAGGACAAGCCAGTGTGTCCATGCCAGGACCCTTCATGGCTCGGACTGGTTGACCCACCATCCTGATTCCTTTTGGGAAGAGTGACAGGCCCCCAGGGAATGGCTGGAGCTGTGTCAGGGCAGGCTCAGGGTGGATCTCAGCAAAAGGTTCTTCCCCCAGAGGGTGGTTGGCACTGAACAGGCTCCCCAGGGCAGTGGGCACAGCCCCAAGGCTGCCAGAGCTGCAGGAGGGTTTGGATGATCCTCTGGGGCACAGGGGGGACTCTTGGGGCTGGGCCTGTGCAGGGCTGAGGGTTGGACTCCAGGATCCTTGGGGGTCCCTCCCAGCTCAGCACATTCCATGATTCAGTGTTCCCAGCCTCTCTGGGGCAGTGTGGGATGGGCTGAAGGTGAGGACAGAGGAGGTGTCTGTCTTAGGTTAGAGGTTAAAAAGGGTTTCCTTCTGTCTTCTTTTTGATGATTTATATTTTTTAAGGTTGTTGTTGCTGATCTTCCTCTGTCCCAGAGTGGGCACTCCTGGCTCCACATGGGAAAGGTCCTGAGCAGCTCAGGGTGGTTTTAACCAGGGTGGCTCTTCCTTGGATCCCTGTTTTGCTGCCTTGCATGAACATTGAGGCCACAGCTTGAGTATGAGGCTGCACCTCAGGTCCTGTTGGGCCCCTCATGACAAGAAAGTAATTGAGGGACTGGAGTGTGTTCAGGGAAGGGAACGGAGCTGGGAAGGGGCTGGAGCAGCAGGAGCAGTGGATGGAGCATTTGGATGATCCTCTGGGGCACAGCGGGGGACTCTTGGGGCTGGGCCTGTGCAGGGCTGAGGGTTGGACTCCAGGATCCTTGGGGGTCCCTCCCAGCTCAGCACATTCCATGATTCAGTGTTCCCAGCCTCTCTGGGGCAGTGTGGGATGGGCTGCAGGTGAAGACAGAGGAGGTGTCTGTCTTAGGTAGAGGTTAAAAAGGGTTTCCTTCTGTCTTCTTTTTGATGATTTATATTTTTTAAGGTTGTTGTTGCTGATCTTCCTCTGTCCCAGAGTGAGCACTCCTGGCTCCACATGGGAAAGGTCCTGAGCAGCTCAGGGTGGTTTTAACCAGGATGGCTCTTCCTTGGATCCCTGTTTTGCTGCCTTGCTTGAACATTGAGGCCACAGCTTGAGTATGAGGCTGCACCTCAGGTCCTGTGTCCAGTTCTGGGCCCCTCATGACAAGAAAGTCATTGAGAGGCTGGAGTGTTCAGGGAAGGGAACGGAGCTGGGAAGGGGCTGGAGCAGCAGGAGCAGTGGATGGAGCATTTGGATGATCCTCTGGGGCACAGGGGGTGACTCTTGGGGCTGGGCCTGTGCAGGGCTGAGGGTTGGACTCCAGAATCCTTGGGGGTCCCTCCCAGTTGGGCAGATCCTGTGACTCAGCTATCCCACGGGAGGGAGGTGGGCACATGGTGTGCAGGCACCCTGTGCTGCCGCGCTCCGGCCTGGCATCGATGGCACTGGGCTCATGGCATCACATGAGGATGTTTGGAGGTGCCTTGCCAGCCAATGCCTGTGGATGCTGCAGGTCTGTGCTCTCCCAGCTCCCAGGCTGCAGCTGGAGCCAGCCCTGGCTGCTCCACTTCGCCTGTGGATGCCAACCCTGCCCTGCAAACCCCGTGTCCCAGAGCACACCATTCCCATGGCACTGCCGCATTCCCTGCCAAGCCAGCTTTTATTTCTAGCCCGGCATCTGTTCCAGATGTGGCTGTTCAGTGCTGCACTGCCATTGTTGTCCTGCTCCTCACTGAAAGGCTGCCATGAATTATTGAGAGATGGGCTTTAAATAAATGATAAAGCGGGACCGTGCCTGCACTGAAGTTTCTGTCCACCCCTTCCAGAGTCACACTCCGGGCTTTGATGTCCCCATGATGAGCTCACCCAGCGCCCAGAACCTGCCAGCTCACCCTCCTGATGGGGCTGATCGAGGAGCGAGGAGAGGGGCAGCCCAAGCATGAAGGTGGCCGAGGGGACGAGTCTCCTGGGGAGAAGAAGAAGGAGGAGCCGCAGCAGAGGATGAGACAGCCCGAGTTTCCCTCCTGGCAAGTGCTTTTCTCCTCTCAGATCCCCCTCCCCGGCGGGGGTTGCCTGCACAGGGGTGGGAGGGGGAGGGGGGTGCCAGTTCCCAAGGGTGGGTGCTGGGGATGGCGGTGGTGGGGCTGGGAACGTGTTGGGAATCTCACAGCAAAAAGAAAAAGGATTTGGAGTTAAAATCCTGGAGGAAAACCTCACAGGGACTGAGCACAGACATACCCACACCATCTACGGGCACATGACACCAGGGTAAGAACACTCTGGGGCTGAGGGTCCAAACCACCCCAACCCACCGTGGGTCCAAAGCAGCCTCTCCTCTCTTTGCTGGCTCTCCTCTGGGAAGTCCGAGTGGAATTTTGGAAGCCTGGCACTCTTGGAAATTGATTTTTTTAATTATTATTCCTTCTTTTTTCTTCACCATTTTGAAAAATGGCTTGACTCACAGTTGCATGAGGCTGTGGGGACTCGCAGCAGACCATCTGTTTCAGCTGTTAGCAGTCATTAATTTTTTCATATTTTCTGCTACTTTTGAGACACTTTGGGAGAAAAAAACATGTTCTTGATGGCATTGGAGGACTTCAAAGTCACTAATGCTTTTTTTCTCAGAGAAACAATATACAGGGAATGCAGTTGTTATAAAAGAATTACATTTTTATTGGGTTTTCTAGATGGGGAATTCGTCTCCTGTGGACATGCAGGAGGACAGAGTGTTTATCTCCTTCTCTCCATGAACTTGGCTAAACCTGCACTGCAATGCATGTTCTGAGGAGTATTTTTCTGGGTTAAATCTAAAGCAAGAAAGGCTTTTATTTAAAAAAAAAAAAATACAGGGAGATTTACTTTTAAGCCACTCCATTTCTGGAACTAAGCACTTCCTGATTAAATCAGCCGTATTGTCTCCAGTTATTCTACCCAGAAACTGGAAAATTACTCAACTCCTTTGACAGGTGCTCCCAGCTGATGGCTGGGGTTTGTGGATCCAGTGCTGGGGCATCTGGCATGACAAATAATAGACCAAACTCCTCTACTGACACCGCCCACCCTCCGGCCCTGGCACCTTTGTCCTCAGGCCCTTCCGTCCTCTGGAGGAGAGCTCAGCTCAGCAAAGCCTTGGAGAGCTGTTCTCCCCAGGGCCTTGGTGTGTGGGAGCCCAGCAGGGCTGGCTGGGATCTCCCCACCTGCTTCCCCAGGGCTCGTGGTGCCCCAGCCCGTGGGGTCTGTCCCCGAGCTCCGCTCGCGCCTTCCCCGCGGCTCCCGGGAGGTTTTGGACGCGGCAAAACGACCTCCTGGATTTGAGGGAGCAGGCAGGGCTAGGTGGGATTTTGGGAAGGAATTCTTCCCTGTGAGGGCGGGCAGGCCCTGGCACAGGTTGCCCAGAGAAGCTGTGGCTGTCCCTGGATCCCTGGAAGTGTCCAAGGCCAGGCTGGACGGGGCTTGGAGCAACCTGGGCTGGTGGAAGGTGTCCCTGCCCATGGCAGGATGGGATGAGATGAGTTTTAACCCTTCCAACCCAAACCATTCCACGGTTCTATGATTCCATAATTTAAGGGGTGTTGGGAAATGGAAGGAGGTGCAGTATCTTGCATGGAAATAAGTGATGGGAGATGGTGGCAGCTCCTCCAGAGGATGCTGAGGCCTTTGTCCAGCCATGAGGACCTGGGCTGGTACTGGGCAGAGCAGAGGGCTCTGCACTGGACTCATGGTCGTGTTGGTTTGGGTTGTGCAGCCCTGAAAGGATGTAAAACATGACCCAGGAAGCTCCCAACCTGCTCTTGAGGCTGATGATGGTGGGAGGAGGCAGCAGGATGGAAGCAGAGTGGCTTGACCTGCCTGTGACACCTGGGAAGTGACAGCCAGAGAGCTGTGGAGCATTTCCAACCATCCATTAGGACTGAGGCTTTCAGCAAAATTACAAATACGTGTCCTGGAAAACGCTCCTTGGAGCTGGCCAAGCAGCTGATCTTGGGGTTGGGTGTGGGAGCTGCTTCTTGGCAACTGCTGTGGGGGCTGAACCCCAGTTTGTGCCACTGCAGAGTGAACTGCACTGAGGGGGTGTGGGGTGGTGGGTCCTCCTGTCCCAGTGGTAAACCCAAATGTTCCTGAAGGGCAAAGCAAAGAGTCCATGGGACGTGCCCTGATGGCTCAGCAGCAGCTCTGTGTGATCGATCCCATGTGCATTTCCAAGGATGGATTGGATCCATCTCTTGTCCTTTTCCAGGACATGTCCCATTCCTGCTCTCCTTGGAGCTGGCCAAGGAGCCATTCCTGTGGGTGGGAGTGGAAGGTGCTTCTTGGCAGCTGCTGTGGGGCTGAACCCAGTTTGTGCCACTGCAGAGTGAACTGCACCGAGGGACGTGTGGGGTTTTGGGTCCTCCTGTCCCAGTGGTAAACCCAAATGTTCCTGTAGGACAAAGTAGAGTTCTTAGGACATGCCCTGACTGCTCAGCAGCAGCTCTGTATGATTCCACACGAGTTTCCAGGTATGGATTAGATCCACCTCTTGTCCTTATCCAGGACACGTCCCATCCCTGCTCTCCTTGGAGCTGGCCAAGGGGGACACAGGTGGGTCCTCCTGTCCCTCTGCCTGTGGCACATGATGGTAAACCCCAAATACCTCTGTAGGGCAAAGCAAAGAGTCCATGGGACGTACCCTGATTGCTCAGCAGCAGCTCTCTATGATCCCAAGGGCATTTTCATGCATGGATTGGATCCACCATCCTGACATGTCCCACCCCTGTGTCTCTCTCTCATTTTGTGCCCCCAGTGATGGGGCACAGCCAGTGCCCAGTGGTGCTGCCAGCAGCAGGTGGAAGGAGGAAGGAATTCACATCTGAATTCACATCTGGAGGCTCAGAGATGGTTGGGGCCTGTGTGGTTTTCATTCAAGGCCTTCCTGTTGTCAATTGAGTTAATTAGAATTAAAAAGAAGAAATAAAGAAAGAGAAGCAGGCAGGATGGCAGGACTGGGTTTTGTTTGTTTGGTTTTTTTTTTTAATCAGAGGCCTGGCTTAGAGAGCTACAGAGCCAATTTTCATTTCGAAATTTCCTCTCATTTTCATTTTAAGGCTCCCCCAAAAGAATTTCAAGCTGCAAACTGGGAGGAGGAGGTGTTAGACTTCATAAACCAACCCTCCACATCTATGAATTGACTCAAAAAGCATCTTCTGTTTTGTCCATTTTCTGAAAAGTCCATTTTCTGGACAAATTCGTGATTTTTTCCTTTCAAATAAAAACATTGCTTTTCAAAAAAAAAAAAGAAAACAGCCTGAATTAACCAGAAATAACCTCTCATGTGGATTGGCACCTGGCTGTGGGATGTTGTCCCTCTTTGTCCCACCTGCTGAAATCCTTCACAGGCTTTCTGGGGCTTGGATTGAGGTTTGCAGGTTTGACAAAGAGGGAAGGAAGATGATTAGAGGTCCTGGGGGGTTTTTTGCTCAGGTGGCCCCTGAGACACCCCACTCACAGCACAGGGCACAGCCTGAAAACCTCCACCCAGAGCCCGAGTCAGGTGGAGTAGTGGGAGAAAAGAGAAAAATAGTAGGAAAAAAGAGAGAAAGAAATAGTAGGAACAAAGAAAGATAGCAGGGGGGAAAAAAAAGAAATAGTAGGAATAAAGAAAGAAATAGTAGGGAAAAAGAAAGAAATAGTAGGAGAAGAAAGAAAATGCCAGGAAATTTGCCCATTAACACCCCAGACACAAAAGTCTCAATGGAGCTCTTCCCCCCTGAACCAGCTCCAATGGCTCTGCCTGATGGGAAGTCTAAAAATAAGCCCGTTCTCCACAAACAGCTTAAAGATGTTGAAAATGAAAAGCAACAAAGGCTGGAGAACGTATGAGTCATTAAATTACAGGGCTATCTTTCGAAGAGCACAACAAAACACACACACACACACACAGAAAAAAGCCCCTCCTTCCCCCCCATCTCCCTCCCCAAAGCCCTTGCTGCTGGAATTCATTGGCAGTTCTCTGGGTCTCTGCCCTGTGGACACTCTGTGCTGGTTTTTGTGGGCTCAGAGGGTCGAAACCTCCTCCATTTTCGTGGCCTGATGTGTCAGAGCTGCTCTGGAGGAATAACAAGAGCAAAAGGAGGCTGCTTGTGAGCAGGGGGTTCTTTAACTCCTGCACGTGTGTGTTTCTGCTGAGGTTTGTTGGGAGATGGAACCTCCCTGGATGGGGAGGCTTCCTGCAGGGAAGGGTGTCAGCACACCTTCCCCTTGACAGCACATCCTCTGGCCCCAGAGCAGCCACAAGTGTTTGGCCTCCCAGCTGGGAGCATGCACGTTTTTGTGGGTGTGATCACATTTGTCTCTGGCTTTAGTTTTGGTCAGATAATGCAATTAAAAGGAGTTCTGGGCTTGTTGGTTTTTTTTTTTTTTTTGGTGCCTTCCTGAAGGTCTCATTTCTGTGAGCTCCACTAGGGTGGACTCTGTTGCAAAGCTGAAGCTTTTTCAGCATTTGCAGATGAGCTCAAATCAAAATCTTGGCGTTTGGGGATGGACTGGAGCCAAACCTGTGCCTACATCTGATGTTTGCAGCCAGCCCCAATCTCCCTAATAGGCTGAGCTGAAACCTTGGAGCCAGGCAGATGGTGGGGCTGGAGATGCAAATCTGCCAGTGCTGCTGCAGACCAGACCTGCTGCTGGGGTGTGTGATACCCTCCCTGGGGTCTGGAGGAGCTTGGAATGGGTTAGGTTGGAAGGGACCTTGAAGATCATCCAGTCCCACCCCCTGCCATGGGCAGGGACACCTTCCACCAGCCCAGGTTGCTCCAAGCCCCATCCAACCTGGCCTTGGACACTTCCAGGGCAGGGGCAGCCACAGCTTCTCTGGGCAACCTGTGCCAGGGCCTGCCCACCCTCATCATCAGCACCTTCATCCCTCCTCTTCCTCGCTGCAGGGTGGGGAGGAAGGGCAGGATCTCTGGGAGATCTTGGCCTGTTTCCCTGAGCCCGTTGTGGTCCAAACTGGCTCGTTCCAGGCCCAAAAAAACCCCATTGATCAATAAATC